ACGGGAAAATGGACACCCTCCTCCACCTAGCGATTGCAGCCTTAGATACACAGCTTGCAGCCGAGAGAAACTTGAATGTGTACCTGAAGAGCTGCAAATAAGAGGGATCAGAGCGGTACTAAAAATTACAAACCCAAATGCCCATCAAAGAGCAGATAAATTAATTGTGGTGTATTTACACAACGTAAGGGCACACAGCAGTTTAAACTGCTGAAATAAAGATGTATGCATCAATGTGGAAAAGCCCCAAATATAAATTGTTGAGCTAAAAGAAGCAAGTGGCAGGACACGAACAGCATAGCACCACTTACACAGTTAAAACCATATAAAGTAACACTATATGCTGTTTATAGATACATGATATATATGAAAAGTATCAAAACATGCATGGGAATGATAAACACTAAATTCAGGACAGAGGTCACCTCTGGAAGAGCAGGACTAAGGACTGCATGGAAGGGGTTCCAGTTGTGTCTATCATGGAATTGTGATTGTGTCTGTTACATCTCAAGCTAAGCAGTGGATGCGAAGGACTTTATTGTGTTAACCTCAGTATTTTGTATGCACCTCAAATGTTCCATAATAAAAAAATTAACTTGTCTGTATTGATTTGTAGGGGAGAGAAATACAGATTCCAGGTTAAGCCATTAAAATCAACAAAGAAGTTTTTCTCCCAGAAGAAAGAATCAGAGGGAATAAGAATAACTCCCTAGATCCCATTCCAGATTTTAAGACCTTGAGAAAGTCACTTATCTGCTTGGGGCCTCCAGTCTCCGTTCTAAATGGGGAAGAAAACCTCTGCCTTCTGTCCTGCAGTCAGCAAGGCACCCAGGGCAGGCAGCGCTCCAAGGGAGAGGGAGCTACCCTGGGACACTCAGAATAAAACTTGCTGTCCTGACAATCACACTGAGGTTTTGAAAGATCAACTGAAGCAAACAGACACATGCATGTTAGCATGTTAGTATACTTGTGTGTATTGTTAGACATATATGCTCACAACACACAACTGATACCTGATATGGTGCCCATAAAATGTTTCCTGATGCTTAGAGATAACAAACCATTAAAAAGAGAGCAAAACTACATTTTGGTAACTATTCATTTTTGACTCTCCCTTACAAATACACATAATAAAGGACTCAAACATTTTTCTGAAGAAATGACTGAGTTCCCATGATCAGATCTGATTGTAAAAGTCCTCAAATCAATAGCAGGTGCCAGCAGTCTAGCCATGACTGACTCCTGGATGCTGAAGGGCATGGCTGCCTCCCTCTCCCCAAGACCAGCCCAGCACCTCCTCAGGCATGCTCAGAGCAGACTCCAGTGGCTAATTCTACCAGGCAGGAATCCCGGACTGCCAACACATGGAGACAGCACCAGTCATACCAAATCAGTCTTTTAACTAAAAGCTTCCCAGGCCTTCTCCAGGAAACAGCAGGAGCGTGGGAGGCCAGTGCAGCATGGCCAGATGTGAAAGTCCCTCATACCCACCCGCTTTCCCAGTTTATTCCCTCATGACAGTCCCAAATTATCAAACCAAATGAAGTGTAGGGGGAGAACTCCTAAAAACATTCAAGGCAGAGGAGACAGGGATTATGAAATGAAGATTCATGGAGGAGTGAGGCTCTTACTGGATATCTGTATAACACCAGATCATTTTCTAACTGTTGGCTCTCCAACCCCTGACCAATAAGGGCATTTATTAAATGCTTTTGTACTTGGGCCACATGGGCTCCGAGGAAATAAACCTTGGTAGCCCTTTAACTGCTAAGCCCTTCCTGGGCCAAAGACTCCTGGGTTCCAAGTTAGACAAATCACACATTTGTTCACCTGCCAGTGGGGATTGCTTAGGGCCATGGGGATCCCAATCAGGGACAATCCACTGGTGTTTGCTCACCATTATGACAACCTTGGAGGAAAGGAAGTCTGGTCTTTAGAGGCCAACTTCCAACCTTGCTAGACCCATCTGCCTCCCCTAAATACACAGAGCACTAGTAATCCTTCACCCTCCTCCAGGCTCCCAGTGACTAAACCAAATGGAAGAAGCAAGCAAGAGGAGAGGCATGTTGAAAGTTACTTGGAGGTCAAAGGACCCAGCCTCTAGTTACAGAATTAGCAGACGTCTGGGATTCTGATGAATGGAATCTTTCACAAGCACACACGTGCCTCCTTTTCCACCTAAAAGCACTAGACAGATGAATGGAAAATAAATGTTTTGTATTTACTTCAGCCTAATGGCAGGACTCCCTTTTCACAGCACTCAGTAACCAATATTATGCAGACAGAATCTGTAAAATGGGGTTCCATGTGGGGAAGCCAGACACTTGGCCTGTCTCAACCCAACATATGTTCATGAGGTTCAATTACTGATATGTCTCATACTAATGAGGAACGATACCTTTTTCACAACCAGTTTTGTATCCTGAGCAATCCCCAAAACCTTCCCTGGCCCCAGCTCCATCTTCCCTCCTCCTATCCCAGGCCAGAGGCTAAGAAGATGGGTGAGGGTTAGTGGGGGTGCCAGGGTTGTCTGCAGAGCCCCAGCAGCTGCTTAGGACTGGTGGGCTGAATCATCATGACTGCCCACACTGGCAGGGTCAGGTGGGGGGGCTGTCCTCATTGGATCCCTGGCAGGTGGCAGGTAAGGCCCATATCCTGCAGGAAGAATGGGGTACCCAGCCTTTTCCACAGTAAGTGGTGGGTAGGAAGGGCTGGTCTCTTAACAAGTGCTGAGTCCCAGGAGAGCAGATGCATCACCCAGCATCCACACAGGCAGCAGGGGAAAGCTGACTAGGTCCCCAGAACAAGTGCCCACTATGTGCTCAGGAGGCCCCAAAGCTTCCTCGGGACCACACCCACAATGGCAGTGCCACACAGCTCATCACATAGGCCAAGGCAATCCCCTGGCAGGAATCCTCATACCCGTCCCCCCACTCCCCACAATACAGAAAGCAGCATAAAAAGTCCAAAAGCGATCTTGTTTTTAACACTCTCCTTGACTAGTAGTATATCTGGTAGAAGCTTTGGCCTCAAGACCCTCCTGTGGCAAGATTCTGAGGCCCGGGGAGGGCAAGGAGGAAATGCAGAATCCCAGTTTCAGAGGAGGATGGGATATGAGGATGAATTGATTCAGAAGTCACACACTTGGATGCCTACAGGAGCCCAGAGGAAAGAATGTTAAGTCAGGCCGCCACAGGGAGTGGAGGACTCCAGAGCCATACTAGAAATTGCATACCTGATAAAACAGGTCCCACTGAGTGCGGTCCAAACTGCAACCCAACTCAGACCCTGGAGGCCACACAGCAGGTGGTGGCTGTGGATACTGGCGGCTTACAAGGTCATCCAGGTCCCCCCACCCCCACCCCGCAGTCTGCTGCCTTGAGCTACAGAGACCACCGTGTACACAGACTGGGTAGTGAATTCATCCATGCCTGAAATTCCCCACTTTGAAACGGGAAGAACCACAGAGATACACCATTGAAAAAACTCGTGAAACACACACGTTGGCACACACAGCTCCCAAAGCTCAGTGGCCAGAAGGAATCTCAAAGGTGGTCCATGGGAGTGAACGTGAGTCCCAAGGTTTGGCAACTCAAGCATCACTTTTATAGCCGTGAGGGACAGTGGCAGATTCCCAGGCCGGTCTCCTAACATCCCAACTCAGCACAGGATCTACGACCCAAGCAGCATCCTCAGGGCCTCTGTCTTAGCACCTCCTCCTCAGCTGACTTCCAGGAAGAGCCCTGGTCAAGTTCCCAGTGGAGGGAGGTGGAGACCGCCCTGGCTGGGCCTCTAATTCACTGGGTGACCTTGATGAGGTCACTGCTGTCAGCAGACCTGTTTCCTCTTGTGCCAGAGGAGGGGGTTGTCTTAAGTGGATGAGGAGGGGGTTGTCTTAAGTGGATAGAAAGGAGATGAACATCCTGTGGCTTTCGAGGCAGAAAATCCAACCTATCACTCCTGCGTCTCACCTGTAGGTAGCACTCCCTCGTTTGAACTCCAAAGTCAGGTTGACTTGCTCATCCATCCCAGCTTACCCCAGGGATGTCACCCATGTGGGGTGGGAGGTCAGGAGCTTGTGCCAGGCCTGGCATTGATCAAATAGGTGCCTTTCCCTACAGCCTAGCCTGTTTCTTCATGCCCTTCAGACCTGCCAACCGACAGTATTTTATGCTAGACAGATGTCAAAGCCAAGCAACACATCAGGGGAGATCCAGGTGCAAGTACACACATGCCACAGGCATACATGTCAAGGCCTCCATTCGACTCAAAGACCAGCCTCTTACTTGAGCTCCTAGGGCTGGCTGGAAATTACAGCTTAAGGGAACGGTCACGTAGAGGTATAAAAAAATTCCATTCAGACATGCTGCTCCAGACCTGAGGCCGATGAGCAAAGTTTCCGGTGGCCTCCGCGCCCCACCCGGTTCCCGGAAGCCTGGCGAGTCACCCCATCCTCCGATTAAGGAGCAGCCACACAGCTGGGAGAACCGGGGAGACGGCTTCTCCCGGGCACCAGACGCCCTCCGCCAGGAACCCCAAATATGGGATGCCTGGCCTCCAGCCAGCACCCCCGCCTGCTGCGTGCACACCTCCCAGCATCTCTATAATCACTCCTCGGCCCACAGCGCTCGGACCCTTCCAAACAGGCCCTGCGGATCAGCCCACAGGCCCCCACACATCCATCTCCCTGCATGGCCCGGAGGCCCATCTGACATCAACAGCCCATTTCAAGGACACTGCAGCAAGTAGCCCAGTCTCAAGGGTCTTCCCCCCACCCCGCCCTGAAAACACACACACACCACACACACCACACCGCACACCACACTCTCTCTCTCTCTCTCTCTCTCTCTCTCTCTGCCGCTCTCTCCTGCAGTCCGACCAATGCGGGCCTGAGCGCACAGGAGGATGGAGGCGGCGGCGGCGGCGGTGGCGGCGGCGAGCGGATGCCAGAACGCAACGCTGGGGGCAAAGCGGCGTGCGCAGCGCAGGCGGGGGCTCACCTTTTTGACTTGGTCATCCTTCAGCTCGGTGAAGTAATAGGCCAGGAGCTGCGCGGCGATCATGCTGGCGGCGGGGGAGCGGGACCAGCGTGGGTGCTCCGGAGCCTGGGCGAGCAGTGGTCCTCGGGCGGCTGCTCGCCGGCTCCTCCTCCTCCTCCTCCCGCGGCCCCTCCCCCACGGCCTGGGAGGCGGTGGCTCGCGCGCTCCCCGACTCCGCGAGCCCGTCCCCGGGAGGGTGGCAGCCGCCAGCCGGCCCACCTCCTCGGCGCCCATTGGCTGCCGCCCGCCTCTGCAGCTCTAGGCTGTGGCGTCCGGGCCGGGGAGGGGTGGCGCGGCGACTGCTCCCTCCCGCGCCGGAAAGGGGGCGGGTGACGCTGCGAAATCCCCCACGGCGCGGCATCTCCCCGCACGTCTCCCACGTAGGGAGCCGTGCGCGAACGGGCGGCTCTGTCGGGGGCGCAGGGTCGCGCGTGGCGGCGCAGTACCCCGACGGGGCGCGAGAGGAGGCCCCGCCCGACCCGGCCAGACGAGCGGCAGGAGAGGACTTCTGCGGGTGGCAGCCGGGGGCGGGATGGGTGGGGAGACTGTCTCCTTCCTGGGAAGTTAGGGCTCGCCCCCGGGAGCTCCGCGGACGGGGAGGCGCCGTGAGGGGACTGCAGAAGTGGGCGTGGAAAGCGAGCTGGGCCTGTGCCGGCGGAAACGAAGGGCCGGAGCCCCGGGGTCCTCGCACCCGGCCCCGGTGGCATCCGGCTGTCGCGGACCCAAGAGGCCGAGCGCGTAGCCCCACAAGGGGCTTCACCGACAGTGGTCACCCCGCTCCACTCTGCCCCACCTTGTGCCGTCCGGCCTAATCTCTGGCTGGTGGATTTGTGTTGCTAAACCAAGAGCGACGCCCCACGGCGCGCGCCCGAGTCACTGGTTTCTGCGGCTCTCCGGGAGGGCGTGGGCAGGGCTTGGGCGGCCGCCTTCCTCTCGGGCTCCCTAGCCCGCTGCGGCCTGGGGAACTGTTTAGGCGCGCCCCCTAAATGACACTTTTTCACTTCCCTAGAGGAAGTTAACCCTGCTGGGACGGATCCCAAGAAAAATAAGCTTTAAGGGGGAGGGGAGGTGTGGAATTACGTGTTCTGCGGCTGGGACTGCCGCAGCCATAGGATTCTTAACATTGTTCCTGAGGACAGGACACCACCGGGAGCTTTACTGCTTTGAAGATGACTGGATAGTGTAAATACAAAGAAGTTACTATCCCAATTCAACAGGTAATCAAGTTGAGGCTCAGTGAGGCCTTTTATCTTGACAGACTGTATAGAACCAGGAAGTTGTAGATCCAGGATTAGGTCTGTGTACTTTAAAAGCTGGTGCCCACCCCTGGAGTTTGCTCTGCTCCCTTGATCCTGGGACCAAGGCCGCACCATATTTTACCTTCACATGACCTGAGTCCAATAACCTTGACCCAGCTCCGGATCCTGGGGGATCCTGGATAGATCTAAGAAACATTCCTAAGTGGAATTGGGGAGATGGGTAGGTCCAGGCTTAGGTTTCCCTCGGGAAACTTTGGGACTGCCATCACCAACTGAAGAGGACCTCAGATGTGACCCCTGAGGCCAGAGCCCAGCCCCCACCACCAGCTTTGTGGTTGCGGCAACCTGAGTCACCTCTCTGAACCTGCTTCCTCATTGGTAACATGGAGATACTAATGCTCACCTACCCTGTTTAGTTGTTGTGGAATACTAAAAATAAAACACCTGCTTATAATATACAGTTAATAAATGGTAGGAGTTATCATAAGAATGACTGGGAAACTGATGAGGTTTCAGCTTCCGGGCTTCTCACTTGTATTCCCCCCCTTCTAGGCCCTGAGCAGGCCTAGCAATTTTATATTTGTAATTTCAAATTATTTTCCAAAGAGGCTTCCCAAAACTGTTTAAGCTTCAAACCCTACAAAACCTGGATCTGCCCCCTGCATAGTATTATAAACCAGGAACAGAGAGGTTTTCTGGCATCCATCAAACACTTGCACTCCCTTTATGGCCATAAAGCAAAATTGGGTGAATGAGAACAATTTGGTTGTTCTCAGGTGCTCTTGAGTCCTGCAAATGTGATCCTGCCAGACTCACAAGGCTGGAGGCTCCCTAAGGATCAGGAGTGGTACTTTGCTAATTGCACTCTCTTCCACACTTAGCACAGACCCTAGCACTCAAAAGGTGTGGTGTGCCCAGTACAATGATCAAGAGCATACATACTCCTTAACCCATGCCCCCATTACAATAGAGAGCTCATACATGGGCAGGAGCCAGAGAGAAGCTGATCCTCCCAATGGGTAGGCTACTCTGAATTGTTTTGTTTGCAGGCAAGGAGCTGGCAATGCTTTCTCCTCCCTGGCCTTTCAGAAAAAAACTGCTTCTCAAGGTGACTCACTCCTCCCCACCACTTGAATACAGCCAGACCCCAAGGCCTATCAATATTTCCTGCAAGAATAACTCTAGGCCTGCTGCACTGCCTCCTCCTAACTCCCAGTCCTCATCCATCACCCCATGCCAGAAATATTACAAGAGTCTTCAAGCTGCTGTGTCTGGATTCTGGCCATCCAAGTCATTCCGAGGTCCAGGCCACATTATTCCTGCTAAAAAGCAACCTAATCACATCATAACCCTGCCCCAAATCCCTTGATGGCCCGTCCTTCCTGATGGAGCTAATTTAAACATCTCTACCTGATGTCTGAGGCCTTCTGTAACCTGACTCCACAGTTCCCAACTTTCTTCCTCTGCCCTTGGCCACAGCACAGCCGCTTCCCACTGTCCTTGGCCCTGACCAAGTTCAGTCCATTTCAGCCCCTACTCGTATTTCCCTGCTTGCCCTGCCTTCTCCACTCACCTCTACCCGACCAAGTATCCTTCTTATCAAAGACCCCGCTCTCACACCCTCTCCCCATAAAGCCTTCCCCGACCCTGGCTACTCACCCAAATCGTCAAGGGCTCATCACCTCTACTGGATGCTCTCCGACTGTGCTTCCCACCCATCTAGAGCTAGAGTAAGACTATTCTTTACAGACTAGGAATCTGATTTGCACCAGGTGGACCCTCTAGTCGAATGTTGGCTCGCGGTAAAGTTTGGAGCCGGGACTCAAACCCGTTCTGATGCCCAGCAGGTGCTGTAACTACCCTTCCCCACCACCTCCCCACAGCCTTCATTTCAGATAACTAACACTGAGTCATGACAGTCTGCCTAATACTGCTGTCTTCTGGGGAGCCAATCTTATCTGCTACAGTCAGACAGCTTGTGAGGCCGGAGCCCGTGCTGCCACGTTAAAGCTGGACCTGAATTCCCTCTCATGCCAGTTATTGCCTCATGCCCTTCTTTATTATTTCGCCTCTTTTTTGCTGTCACTTAGCTCTTGGACCCACCTAAGCCCCTTTCCTGATTACTCTCTGGACCTTGAGGAAGAGCAACAAAGACCTCAACCATCAGAAGTGTAGTTCCACAGGTGTCTCCTCCCCCTCCAGGTGGCACTCCCCTCTCCGGGAAGTCCCCTGGGTTTCTCCCTTTTTACTTGCTTCCCCTTACATGAGTTGGGGCAGGAGTGAGGGGTCAAGCAGTGCCAGGCTGCCACCCGGCAAAGCACACCTGCCAGTAAGAGAATGCAGGCTGCTGCTAAGTCAGAACGTAACAATTCACATCACCCATGGACACTAGGAATATTCCTCCAGGGATTCTCTCCAGTGGATCAAAACTGTACCCCAGTACCGGGGAGCATACTTGTAACAGCAATGTTTGCACAATGTTGACAGTGTAAAGAGCAATTTCTCGTTTATTGCCTCATTCCTCCTGATAGGCTGGTGAGGTTAGAAGGGCAAATATCATTATCCCCATTTAATCAAGAGCAATGAGTGTTGTGGAGGTTATACAGCTGGTTTAAAATTTCTCAAAGAGAAAGAGAAAGTAAAAAAAGAAAAATTAGGGCCAGTGCCCAAACTAACCACATCAGAACCCTGACACTGAAGGGACCAAGGGCTGGCTACCCCAAGACGTGCTGCTTTGGCATGCAGATTATGTCAGAGCTAAAATCAATCAAGGCCCAAAGACTCCGAAAGTTCCATCTCTACCCCACAACTTCATGAAAAGGATTTAGATAGGGTAGCTGCTCCACGAGGAGAATCACCACCATAGGGAGCTACATTATATTCTGAACTAGTGTAATGGTCTAGGAGGTATGAGGCAAACTTAAAATTCTTCTGTGTCCATTGTTTCTGTGTGGCCCAGCAAACATTTGTTTACCAAGCATTTACTCTTTTATATTCCTGTGAATTGCCTTCCTTCTCTTTGAAGTCCCAGGCCCCTATCCCCTCTCCTTAGTTCAGGATGACATACATACCTCATTGTCCTGATGTCTTCAGAGTCTCATGTCTATAGATTCCCACTTTGGTTTCTGTCTCCTGTTAATCTGTCTCATGTCAATTTGATTCTTAGACCAGCTAGAAGAACTTTAAAGTGTAGAGGAAACTTCTTCTTCCCCAACGGTTGGTGCAATCTGCAGGATACTTTATCTAACTAGATATTGCTCATAGTGGCCAGGATACATTATCTTGCTGGACATCACTAGCTTCCAGGCTGCTGCAGCTGCAAAATTCTGGGACATCTGATGGACAGCCAGCAGATGAGATTTCTTACTATGTGAGCTCCCCGGGAATCCCTGGGGGGTCTCTGCAGTGAGAATGGTGAGAGTCCTTTTTCTCTCAGCAGGATAAAATATCGATAGAACTAGTTCCTTGGGCTTGGCAACTTGGTGTGAATTTGGTTGAGTACTCTTGGTTTTGCTGATCCATTTTCTGCCAGATATGGTCTTTGTTTTGTCTGTGTCTTTTGTGTGGTTTGTAAATGCGCCCATGAGATAAAGGCTGTTGCTAAGGGACATTTTAGAAGCCAAAGCTGCAAAACTGGTGGGCACAGGTTGAGTACTTAAAGGCTGTTAGTGACTGGCCACCGCAAGAAGACTCCTGCCATAGGATAAGTTGGTCACAGAACAGGTTAGATTGACACTAGGTCACCTGCCAACCTCAAGAAACTTCCGTGCAGTGAGGCACACTGTAAAACACCACACAGCCCCAAAGCCCATGACACATCCCTCCCAGGTATTCATTTGGCTTCTGAGAAGGCCCAAGGCTTAGCTAAAACTGAGAATATATATATAGGATGAAGTTTTCCTCTTGTTTTGTTGTGTGTATGTATCTGAACCCAGATACACATTTCTTTATTTGCTTAAACCTTCACTGCACTGTCCCTTCCATGGTACCCTTACTCAGGGCACAACCTTGCAAGGATCAATAACCTTGTCCTGTCCTTTGTCTTCTTTTCTGAAGCTCGTTGTTGGAGATGGGGGATGGGGGCAGAGGGTATTGATTGACAACATCTATTTTCCAGAGATACCACCAGATATGGAGTCTACATGAGCCAAACCAAGACCCCCAGGCGATGCCAGGAAGATGGGATTCCAATAAGTTTCAAGGACCTTCCCATTTCTGCCCTAACACCCACATTCCTTTGTCAGGAACATATAAAGCCATCCCCTCCGCCAATCGAGCAAGGCAGATTTGGGAAAGGTACCCTGCCTTCTCATTGTCCTGCCCTTCTGATAATAAAGCTTTCTCTGCTTCAAACCTGGTGACTCAGAGATTGGCTTACTGCACATTTGGGCATGCAAATCCGGATTTGGAAGTCTGGTAACACCTTGAGAGCTTGGCTTTGTGACCAGTGAAAATATTTTCCCTGCCCTTCACCAACCAGAGGGCGCATGTACTGGCATGCACCTGGCAGGCAGCCCAATTGGCTGTGGATCCAGTAGTCCCCATTCTGTGCCAGCTCTCAGAGGAGTTTGTCATAAGAGGTCTCAGCCCCTAAAAGACTCTTGTCTTCTCAACCTTCACTGCCTGTTAGTGCTGGAAAAGTCCCATTCCAGTATCACCTGCCTGATGTCACAGATTAGTGGGTCTCATGTTCATGGGAGACCAGAGACACCATTGTCACTACACCATCCTTGCTACCTATGCAATGATGGCCTTTAGTTTCCTAGACTATGGGAATGAACTTTATAGATCATGGAGCTGCATTATCTGTGACCCCTAGGCATGCCTCCTGTATCCATGGTTTATTCCTGGAAAGTTGCCACCTCAGGGTCTTTCCATAAAAAGGCTTAGTGGTTTGAGTCACCATTCAGGTCCTACTCATCAATGGTTTGTGAACATCGACTCCTGGATACCCCACAGGCACCTGAAATTCAATACGCCTCTCATCATAGTCACTTCGTAAACTTTCTCTTTTCGATTCCCCACCTTGTCATTTATTTACTCAACAAATATTTGTGAAGCACCTAACCTGCCTTGCACTTCACAGTCACTAGCAATGTGCTGGTGAGCAAGACCCACATTCTGGCAGGGAGAGAAAGACAGTTAACAAGCCACAGATTAAATATAGATTAGGTCTGGTGCTAGAAGGAAAAATAAAGCAGTGCAGGTGACACAGCTGCATCCTACAATTTCCATTTCTCCTTTGTTCTCACTGATAAGCACTCCAACTTTTAGCTGAGTTCAGGCTATAGAATAGACTACACATCTAGCCTTCCCTTTAACTAGGTGTGGCCATGGGACCAAGTTCTGGCCAGAGTTGAAATCGAGTGTGTCTCATGGTAGCTTCCAGGCGAAGCTTAAGACGCAGCAACTGTGCAGCTTTCCCTCATTGTCTTTCCTCCTTCCTCCTTCCTGCTGGCTGAGATATAGACACACTGGCTGGAGATGCAAAACCATCTTGGACTGTGAGATAACCTTGGGGATGGTAGCCACATAAAACAAAGCAACAAAATAAAACAGAAGGAGCTTGTGTCCCTGTCACCAAGGTGCCCCGTTACACACTGAGTACCTCCAGATTTCTAGAACTTCAGAGAAAAATAAAATTCCAGTGTATTAACCAAACTGCTATTTTGGGACTTTCTGTTACTACCAGCCAAATCTAATCCTCATACCCAAGTTGAGCAACAGAAAGTAAGAGTATTATTTTAGAAAGGATGATAGGGAAGGGCTCTCTGAGGAGTACATTAGAGCAGAAAGCGGAATAAAATGAAAGAGTATGCCGTGCTCACACTTCCTCTTCTGTCTTTGGAAAAGAGTGTTCCAGACGAAACCATCTCCCCATCACTCAAGCTGGAAACGTGTATCATCCTTGAGCTCTTTCCCCTCCCAAATGCCCCTTACCAAATTTGTCACCGAACTCTCTCAAGTCTACCTACAAATGTGCCTCAAAAACAAATTGAACAAAACAAACATTCAAACCTAAAAATGCTGTCAAATCCATCTTCTCCTCCCTATTCCTTCTGCTAGAACAGGCCTGTGGTGGGTTAAATGGTGCCCCCAAGAAAGATATGTCTCAACCACCACAAGCTGTGGATGTGACTTTTCTTTGGAAAAAAGGTCTTTGCACATGTAATTAAGTTAAGGATCATGATAAGCTCATCCTGGATTCCTGGTGGACCCAGATCCAGTGACTGTCCTGATAAGGGGCAGAAGAGAAGACATAGGGAGAAAAAAGAGAATGTTATGTGGAGATAGAGGTAGAGATAGAGAGTAAGTTCTTCAGCCGCAAAACAAGGACTGCCTGGAGCCAGTAGAAGTGGAAAGATTAATATCAACTCTCTCCTAGCCCCAGGCTATGGAACATGTCTATTCAGAAACCCCTGTAGTAAAAAATGTTTTGATCACATCTCTCAATAATATACACATTTATTTATAGCTATGAATGCATACTACTGTACTAATATATTATGGATGTTATAAACATACCTTAAATACAGTCATAAAAAACAGATGAGACAAATGGGAGTGTACAATGATGCAGCTACTTTGGAATTGTTTGGCTGTTTCTAATAAAGTTCAAAATATACCTACATCATGAACAAGCAATGCCATTCCTGTGTATTTCTCCCAAGAGCGTCTGTACAAAGATTTGTACACAAATGCTCATTGCACTTATTAGTAATAGCCAAAACTAGAAAAACCCAAATGTTCATGAGCAGGTGAGTGGACAAAAAAATTGTTGTATATTTATACATATTTTATACATCTCAGTTATAAAAAATTAATACTTTTTGGGGGAGGTAACAGTTTTAATGAGATATAATTCACCTATGATATAATTCACTCATTTAAAATGTACAATTCAGTGATTTTTAATACAATTGTTGAGTTGTGATATCATCTCCACAATCAATTTTGGAACATTTTCATCATCTTACAAAGAAATCCTATACCCATTAGCTGTCATCTCCCAAACTCCTACCCTCCCCAGCCCTAGAAACAACTAATCTACTTTCTGTCTCTACAGATTTGTCTACTCTGGACATTTCATATAAATGGAATCATATAATATGTGATCTTTGGTGACTGACTTCTTTCACTTAGTATAATATTTTTAAGGTTCATTCATGTTTGTAGTACATATGTGAATCTCAGTCTTTTTTATTTCTGAATAATATGCCATTGTGTGGATACACCACAATTTATTCATCCATTCACCAGTGATAGACGTGGTTGTTTCCACTTTTGGGATTCTTTTGGTATTGCATTAGTTTACTAGGGTCCCCATAACGAAACACCAGACTGGGTGGCTTGAACAACAGAAATTCCTTTTTTTCACAGTTCTAGAGTCTAGAAGTCCAAGATCAAGGTGCGGCCAGGTTTGGTTTCTCCCGAGGCCTCTCTAGGTAGCTTGCAGATGGCTGCCTTCCTCACACGGTCTTCCATCTGTGTGCATGCATCCCTGATTATCTCTTTATGTGTCCAAATTTCCTCTTTGTAGAAAGACACCAGTCTAATTGGATTAGGACCCTCCCTAAAAAACCCTACTTTTAAATTAATTACTTCTTTAAAGGCCATCTCCGAATGTGATTGCATTCTGAGGTACCGGGGGCTAGGACTTCAACATATGACTTCAGGTGCAGGGAACACAATTTAGCCCATAATATGTGGCATAGTAAGACACCATTGCCAAATTCAAGGTCACAAAGATTCATACCTATGTTTTTCTCTAAGAGTTTTATAATTTTAGCTATTGCATTTAGGTCTTTGAACCATTTTGAATTAATCTGTATATATATATGGTTTGAGGTAGTGGTTCATATCTTTTGCATTTGAGTATCCAGTTGTCCCAGCACCATTTATTGAAGAAACTACTCTTACAGCATTGACTTGTTTTCTTACCCTTGTAAAAAAATCAATGACTGTAAATGTAAGGGTTTATTTCTAGACCCTCAATTCTATTCCATTGATCTACATGTTCTTCTTTATGCCAGCACCACATTCTTGATTACTGTAGCTTTATAAGTTTTGAAAACAGGAAATGTTAGTTCTTCAACTTTCCTTTTCTTATTCAGGATGTTTTGACTGAGTTCCCTCCATTTCCATATGAATTTTAGAATTCATATGGGTTAATTTAGCTTATTAGTTAATTAGCTTGTCAGTTTCTGCAAAGAAGCCATCTGGGATTTTGATAGGGATTATTATGGTCAATCTGTAGATCAATTTAGGGGGTATTGGCATCTTAAAAATATTAAGTCTTCCAATCCATGAATGTGAGATATCTTTCGATTTATTTAGATCTTCTTTAATTTCTCTTAACAATGTTTTGTACTTTTCAGAATATAATTCTTATACTTCTTTTAAGTTTCTTCCTGAGCATTTTGTTCTTTCTGGTACTTTTGTAAATGAAATTGTTTTCTTAATTTTATTTTTCAGTTGTTCATTGCAAATGTATAGAAGTACAACTTATTTTCATGTATTGATTTTGTACCCTGCAAATCTTGCTAAATGGATTTATTAGCTCTAATAGTTTGGGGGTGGGGATATGTATACCTTAGGATATTCTAGAATATACAAAGATATACAAGATCATGTAGAAATGAACTCTTGATACACGCAGCAGTATCAAACATTAAAGTCAGGTACAAAAGAGTGCATGTGTGTGATTATATTTACATGAGGTTCAAGAACAGGAAAAATAACCTGGTGATAGAAATCAGTACAGTGATAACCTCAGGACAGGGAATAGGGAAGCAGTGACTGGAAAGGGGCATGAGGACATTTGGGGGAATTATGGAAATGTTCTATGTCTTGAACTGGGTGATGATTATATAGATATATATGTGTGCTCAAACTTATTGAGCTGACACTTAGGATTTATACATTTGACTGCTAGTAAATTACACTTTAACAGAAAATAAAGAGAAAAAATGAGACAAACTTTTAAAATATGGTGGTTTCCCAATATCATTAGCTAATTGTCTCAGGGCCCTCTCTCTCTCTCTCTCTCTCTCTCTCTCTCTCTGTGTGTGTGTATATATATATAGGGATTAGCTCATCATTGGCAATATACAAAGTAAATCCAGAATTCAAATAGCCTTGCTCATTTTAATTTTTTTGGCTGCTTACTTATTATGTATGATTGGATCTTTTATTTATTTTAACCCCAAGACGTAGCTCATGAGTGAGCTTGTACCAGAGATAGGAAAATAATTGGCGTCTTATTTTCTCATTGTTCATTAGCTTTAACCCACAGTTTCTTTGCAGAAATCTTTCTAATCATTTGTTTTGTGAGGGTCAGTCTAGTTAAAGCC